TAAAACGGTGCGCCCAAATATATGCATTCACTTTTGTGCATAAATAATTTTCAAGATTTATCGTTATCTCATTGTTAATTGCTATACAGGTTGTTCAAAAATCATTGGCGGAGGTAAGGCTCACAGAGGCAGCCAGGGTAACAACTCGCAGCTACAGTGGAGGAATGAAACGCCGCCTCAGTGTTGCAATAGCTCTAATCGGTGAACCAAAGTTGGTCTTCTTAGATGAACCGGTAAAAAATAAATTAAAGTTTTTGTTTTTTACCACAACTCATGTCAGTCAATATTCAATATCATCATCATTCGATCCATTTTGGTCTAAACTTCATGTCTTCAGACTACTGGTATGGACCCCATAACTCGAAGACATGTTTGGGACGTTATTGAGAATGCAAAGAAAGGGAGAGCCATTATTCTAACAACACATTCAATGGAAGAAGCTGATATTTTAAGTGATCGAATAGGAATCATGGCAAAAGGTAGGCTTCGCTGCATTGGGAATTCAATCAGGTTGAAATCAAGATTTGGAACCGGTTACATTGCCCATATAAGGCTCTCAGCCACCTCTGCTAATGTGACTCCTTCTAGACAAGATGTCACTGCTCCAGCATGTCATGAGGAAGTGAAGCTGTTCTTTAAAGATGTATGTTGTACTTTACACAGCTTTTTATTTATCCTTTATTTTTTAATATAAAAAAATCGATTGTTTTTGTAGCGTTTAGATGTAGCTCCGAAAGATGAAAACAAGTCATTCCTGACGTTCGTTATCCCACATTACAAGGAGGACCGACTAACTGTAAGACTTGACATTTTAGTGATTATAACTCATGTGCAAACTCCTAATACCGATTTAATTGAGATTATGTGCATGGTTTTTTTTTTTTTATTAGAAATTCTTTGAGGAGCTAGAAAATAGAGAGGAGGAATTCGGTATATCAGACATCCAACTCAGTCTTACAACTCTTGAAGAAGTCTTCCTCAACATCGCAAAACAGGCAGAATTCGAAAGCGCTGCAGCGGAAGGTAGATTCACCACATTGACTTTGACCTCAGGAACTTCTCTTCAAGTAAGTGTCTTCCACAAATTTAATTTCATTGAAATTAAAATTAATCCTATGTAATCCCTGATTAATAAATATTATGATGATCTCTTATATAGATACCGGTTGGAGCAAGATACATAGGAATTCCAGAAACTGTTTCAACAGAGAATCCACATGGAGTTATGGTGGAAGTTTATTGGGGGCAAGACGATGCGGGTGCACTGTGTATTTCAGGGCACTCGAATGAAACACCGATACCATCTCATGTCCAATTACCCGATGCCCTTTCTTCTTCACATACCTCTCGAAGAACCTTTTTGGGCCGATCTGGGCCTGTCCATGGAATCGTTATTAATCCTAATTAATAAAATTGGTGATCCAATATCTTTATATTGATTGCATCTCTATATCAGACCATCAACCATCTCAAATAATCTATAGATGTAGAAGAAAGTCTATTCAAAGGAATGGGTGATGGTAACTGTTAAATATTATTTAATTATTTAATTTTGTACACCATATATAGTATAGGGTCCCTTTTGAAACAATTTGCCGACAGATCTATCCTAATCGACTGATAGAAACAACCACTACAAATTAGATACGGAGTGCGGCATATTATTTAAAGGATTACTGAGTGAAACAATTTACCGACAGATTACTCGGACTATTTAATATTTTACCATTCAGATCACCAACATGTTATATATGAACTTTTTAGTGACGGAATTATGTTGTAATCCGTTAGTCAACTAGCCGTTTAAAATGAACATTTAAAATTATAGAAAAAAATAATATAACAAACAAGTAGATCGATTAAAATGTATGGATCCAGGATATTACTTATTGGGGTATACCCACAGGAATCGGGTATCCTAATAATAGAAAAAATTAGAGATCAGTTCAAACATCTTCATTTAACATGGTATATTTCATGTAGTTCACACATCATGACATCAAACTCACTCACATATGAATAACATGTCAAACAGTATATAAGGTTAATGCATAATTCAATAGATATCGCCTAATTAAAAGTTTCAACTGATAAGCAAAGATCAAAAGACTTTGTAGATCATAATCAATCTCACCAATATGTTTTCATAATTGCTATTAATAGCCACAATATAATGCTAAATAAATAAATGTTGATAGCTTTAAGACAATAAAATGAATGACATGGGAGTTTTTTCACTTATATAAGTACTTTTAGACTATATAATCTTTGCATGGGAAGGATTGTCTTTTTGAGTTTCGACTACCATAAAAAATGCCAAAAGTCAAAGTGATTAAAGAAGAATAAATCTTCTATATATGTAATTAAGGGTATTTAATGTTTTAAACAAAAGGACATGTTAAGCCTTCAAAGGTCAATGATATAAAGATAGATAGGGGAAGGAAAATACGAATAATCTAGTGTAGCACCCATAATCTATTGACACAACTCAAAGTACATTTTAATTGTACAATATAGATTACCTAAGTCTAGTCCCATATGATAAAAAAAAAACCACAATGATAACATATCTTTTTATATTTGAATAAAAAGATTTGTCAAGCATAACTAGCTTATACTTATATTGCCACAATCACATGAACTGCAACACTTTCAAAGTTTCACGACTCGAAAAAAGGGTAATTTCCGACTGCCTTTTCTGTTCGTATTCCATTGATAAAGGTCATTTCCGATGGAACTGAGTTGGTAGGAAAAACGCGCAAGGGTAATTATTTGTGACGCATTTTTAATGTATTACTGACAGAATTTTCTGTCGGAAATATACTGACAAAATTTACTTTGACTAGGGTTGACCATATTTTCCGGTAGATACCGACAGAATCATGACCAAGTTTGACCAGGTTACCAACAGATTGTTTTGCTATGGATTTCCGATGGATTATTTCAATTTTTAATGACAAATTATGTCCGTCACTAAATTGATTAAACTTTCTTTTTAAATTGCAGTTTTTTTCCTAAAATGCAGAAAAAAACCGTTACATTAAACCTCATAATGTCAAATATATTACTAAGTGTTTGAAAACATTACAATAAACATCGTTTTTCAAAAATAAACAATAAACAACATCTAATACATTCAAAATGTCAAATAAATTACTAAGGTGTTGTTTGTTTTTTGGAAAAAAAAAAAACTTCTTCAGACCTCTTATTGTTGCGCGGCGCAACACTTTTCATCTCGCGGCTGTTTGTTTTTCAGAAGTCTTCAGATTAAAAAACCTCTGCACGTGTTCTTTTTGACGCAGCACTTATTTTGTCTCTTCCTACCTCTTCTAATCTTTTTTTTTTTGATAAAATATTGATTATATATTGCTGAAATTTTCTTTCACATTTTTTTTTCATTTATTCTTGTTGAAATATTTTTTATATTGAATAATAATAATTTGTTGATGAAATATCATTATTTTATGCTAAAATATCTTTTTTTTTTTTTGTTAAAATGTCATTCTTTTTTGCTGAAATATCATAAATTCTTGCCGAAAAGTCATACATTATTAAATTTTCGGTATTAAAAAACTATTTTCGGAATATAAAATCAGTTTATTTTAATTTTTTAATATATGCAGCAGCATGTAGATGTTAGAAAAACAAACATGCTTCTTATTACAGTCTGCAGCCGTTTGGTCCACATCTTTTACTGCAAAGGGTTGCAGAGGTGGTCCGTAGATTTTATGAATTTTTGCTTCAAAAAAACAAATAACACCTAAGTCTTTAAAAAACAAACTAAACACAATACAAGAAAAAGACCCTTTTACGAGCGCAAACCACGACACTCATTGATTTATGTTACGCAAAAGAGAGTGACATTAAGAAAGTGTCATGTCTTCAAAAAAAATTAAGAATTTAGGTCACGCATTATTGTATGCCCTTAAATTAGTGTCTCATGTAAAAGGTTAAAAACAAGGAAGGCACTTTATCTAAAATGTGTGTCCTCTATGAATGTCGTTTTATATTTTTTTTAAGAAACGTGCGTCTCCTTAGAGGGAAAATGAAATCCCTAAATTTTTTAAACCCCCGCCTTCTTCCTCGTCTCCATCCCCCAACCACATCCATTGCCTCCAATCCTCATTGCCTCTTCTAGCCTCAAACGGCGGCGATGCACCTTCCTTCTCGAACAACGCTTCATTTACCACCATCGTCCAATTATGTGAGCCTAAGGAATTGACGGAGACAAAGAATATTATGGATCAATCGCTTCACATAATGTTGAAGGTTAAGGGTATTGAGATTTCTTCCAAATCGACCCTCACACTAAATGGTTCGACGACTGCAACTCCATTTGATTGTCGCGCTGATCGAAAAATACGACTCATCAACCGTCAATCGAACCTACCAATTGAACAACCCTAATCGACACCTCCACCTTCTCGTCTATCCTTCTCCACAAGGTTTTCTCTCATCTATATCCTCCACCATATGAAGATTTACGAAGATGTGAAGGGGTTGAACCGAAGGAAACCCTAAATCCATCTCGCAGTCAACCACTACAACCCTAAATCTCTCTTCTTTACAGTAAAAAAATCTTTTGGATGAATTGTCTAGATTCTGGGTCCTGGCATGTTCGGTGCAAGTGCTTTCCAAGTTCTTGGTTTCCTTCCTGAGTCATTGATACTTCTCAATGTGTTCCTTCATTATCTTAATTTCTTCGGATACCCTCAATCGATCCGGACCCACAAACTAAAAATGTTAAATACCTAAAGACTCCTCATTGGAAATTTGTTCATCGTGGGGTGTAATTCTCAATTCTTGTTCGCTTTTCAATAGCAAGGGAATCTTTGGGGGTTTTAGTTTGTGTTCACTTCATTAAGATGACATTCAAAAAGTCGCAAGGAAAAAAATATGAAATTTGATAGTTTGTTATCTTGTTTTTAAACATATCGTTGTTTTTTTTTTTCTATGGGAGACAGTTGAACTTTTTGAAGCAATTTCTTGGTAGAGGATTCATGAAGCACATGCAGGTTCGATTACTAGTATCTCAAAAAACTTGTTATTTATGTTTTACATTAAACTTAAAGAATGGTGCATTTAAGGATGTAAAACTATGATCATAATAGAAAAAATATTGTTTATGTTTAGCACATTTGTATGTAAATGATTGATTCAATTTGTACAGGAAAATGAATTTCTTCATGAGGTATTTGACTTCACACCAAAGAAAAATATTCTATCAAGCACAGATCGTGTATCAGGGATTGATAAGGTTTGGTTTGTTCATATTCTTTTTGGGTCACGCTTTCTTTTCTTTATTCGTAAACTTGTTAATTTTTGGGTGTCAAGTTTGTTAACTGATACAAGTATTTTCCAATTTACCCATCACAAAGGATGTATAGGTCTCCCAACTCAATAGTCAACAAGGCAAGGACGCAGTTTCTGAACAAACAACGGATGATGTCCCAGGTACACCAACAACCCTTTTTTTAAGGAGATTGTAGCCAATGCTATGACTTTTATTGTGAATTTTGGATGAAGGCTGAAGAAAAGAGAATTCCTTGTTTCTGATTGATATTGAAGTTAATGTCACAAGTTGTGTATCTATCCGTGCCTATGTTTTACCCCTCAATTATGATTATATTATATTATATTATGCCTATTATTTCTCACTGGTTTTACTTTCAGGGTTGAAAGAATCTTTCGTGAGATCAACAATAGTATATCAAATGGGTCACTCCTTGTGACTTTAGATTTTAAAAATCTTCCTTTGGTGTTGTCAATGTTTTCTTGTATGGGAGGGCATATATGGTAAACTACTTTGTCTATAATCCTTTTTTTATTATAACTTTCTACAATCTTGCTTTGCTTTTTCTAATGGTGTTCTTGTTTTGCAAATGACTGTTCTAACAGTCTATGTTTTCTTGTGTGGGAGGGAATATCTGGTAAACTATTTACAAATTACGTAGAGTTTCCAATTTCAAAATTTCTTAACCTGCAAAAATAATTATATATGATATATGGTATTTTATATTTCACGCTTTCTTAGGACTTGATGAGGGGATTAGTAGTAGATCTAGAATACTGGGTAATACGGTTGCATTCAGTGCAACTTAAATTGATCAAACTTGTAATTGTAACTTAAAATGATCAAACTTGTGGTTTACTGATAATCGCTTTTTCGTAATTTTGTCACCCCTTTCCAGGTTCCCCTGACATTAAATCATACATTATAGCAACTTAGCTTTATCCTGGAGTCTACAAAAAGCATGTTGAAGATACAATAAAATCAAACTTGACTGGATTTGCATTTGTTGTTATTAGCATTGTTCATCTTGCTAGAGGCAAAATTACTAAAGGTATTATTATAACTTCTTCAATGAGACCATGATTTATGTTTCAACCACACATTTAATTGCCCTTTTTTACTTAATTGGATTAAGGGAATGAATATGTGTTGATTATGAATTCTAGAAAGTCTTTTTTAACCATTTTTTATTCGGATTATTTTAATTAATATGAATATGTGTTGATTATGAATTGTAGAAAGTCTTTGGCGCCATTTAGGGCGATTGGGGACGTCAGAGAATGATGAAAGGCACACTGATTTTGGGAATATCAAACAGACATTGGAAACACTTGTCCAACAAAGGTATATTTTTAAATTTTAATAAAGTCAAATTCATCGAGGTGAACTCAATATTATATTATATTATTAAAGGAAATCACTTTCTTACTTGTATGTTCTAACTATTTATTTATTTGTAAATTTTAACAAAGGTTTTTATTCTTTTTTTTTCATTTCTTTCTTTACAATAGGCAGCTTCAGGTACTAAAGGTGGTTCAAGTGGGTCCCCAGTCGGTCTTCAAAGTCAAACAGAGCAGTTAGTTTGCATTGCATCTCCTCTATCTGAAACTGGAATGCTCGTTGTTGATTTTGTAGTAAGTTTTATTTTTTTAGGTGAATAGATTCAAAACTTTCAAGACTTTATAAATGTTGTATCTAAGCTTTGTAAAGGAGGTAAGGTCCCATTGGAATATATATATATATAAAAGCTACACATATCAAGGTACAATTACAACAGCTGATTTTGGTAATGCTTCTGTTGCTGAGCGTGTGATAGAGCCTACTCTTGTCATGTTTGAGGTAAATTTACCAAAACGCCCCTCCTATTTGTAAATATTATTTTGACTTATGAGGTTCCTATTTTCAGTTTTATGTACCATCATCATGTATGCTAGATGGGGTCCACTCACAACATTTTTTTGGAACTGATGTCATCATACATCATTCTGAAAACATGGGATTAGTTGCAATTAACAAAAACACAATCACCATATCAACATCTGACATCATGTTGTCATTTGCAGCCTTTCCTGTAGAAATCCCTGGTAAAGTACTCTTCCTCCACCCTGTTCACAACTATGCTCTTGTTGCATACGACCCTTCAGCACTCGGGCCCACAGGAGCTTCTGTAGCCCAAGTAGGCCAACAACCCAACTTCTTCTAGGTATTTTAACATTTTCTCATTCTAGTTAATGAGTTATCGACTTATTTCACATTTTAATTACTTTTTTCTAAAAAAATTATAACGTGCATTAAGACGTGATGAATCTGTATACCAAAGACTTCATTGCTTTGTACACAAACGGACCCGCAAGTGGTGGTGGTATCAGTTCTGTTTGAATAATTGATTTTTATAAAAATAAAATAGAAAATGATCATGTATGTACTTGGGGATATAAAAAGAAAGAAATAAACGAGGGCACATTTGTAAAAAGTTAGGACTTATATTAATACTCTCTCTTGTCTCAGCTTGGCTTACAATCTTGTATTTTGAAATGCATCACGGGACACAAGAAAAAGTTCATTCTTTAGAAAGGATCGGTATGTTTTTATCTAACAATTTAAGGGCATATTTTGTATTTTGTGGTTGTGTACAGGTATGGAGAATGCCAAAATTGTTGGTTGGATTTCTGAAATGCATTTCACAAACACAACCACATGTGTATTAAATTTTAATATTTTATACATGTATGGGTTGTATTGAAGCTTGGATTCTTGGAAAAAGGTATGTTACTATATGTGTATTAAATTTTAATATTTTATAACATAGGTTGATGATGCTTGAAGCCTTTCTGAATATTAATGTGTTGATGATGAAAACATGTATCATGTGTGAACATAAGCATAACAATAAGAAGTAGAAACAAGAAGGTGTTCCTTAATAGCAATGTAGTATTATGTTATATAGTTAGGGGAAACCTCTTAATAACAATGTACAATCGGATCCCCTTAATACCAATGTATTACAATTTTTTGACATGGTGTTATGGATGAAATTGATTGCTTTGGTATATATTTGTTTCCAAATTTTTGTATTATGCGTAAATGAGTATCGTAAAGACGCCTCGTAAAATGGTTGCTGAAGTTTATCACACGCAAATGCGTGTCATCTTCATTTATGACAGGGGATTTAATGATACGCAATGCATGTCCTAAAAGTGTGTCGTAAGGTTACGACACACAAATGTGTGTCGTCTTCCTATATGACAGGGCATTCCTTGATACGCATTGCGCGTCGTAAATGCGCTTTGTAAATGCATATCATAATTGTGCGTCATCTATAGACGACGAGCAAAAGCGTGTCCTCTCTCGTTATAACAGGGCCTTCCTTGACACGCATTTGCGCTTCGTCTGATCGTTTTACGGCATGCATTGAATGTCGTAAAAGGCTATTTTTCTAGTAGTGACATTATTTGGTGAATTAACGAGTTGCCCAATGAATTTCATGTAGGCCACCATTTGTTGTTCCAATGGTGCTTGACTTTGTTGCATTTGCAACTCAATTTCATCTTGCCTTATTTCCATCTCATTTCTCATATCTATTCGAGAGTGTTCCATTCTAACAACTTGTTGTTGCAACTTTTGTATCTAAAAATTTGTAATACAAACATATATAGTTAGTTAATGTCACAATATAACCCTTACGTAGTATACATTTAACTTCAGTAAAATCGAAAGGATGATGTCTTAAGATTGATAAATCTTTTTCTTGATTTATGTAATCCAACAAAGCATGAAATTTGAATGATCACTTCATCAATCACTACAAGAAAAAGACTTATTAGTGACAAGTTTTTTAGTGACCACTTAAAATCTGGGAACTAACAATGCGATTTAGTCACAATATATTAAATGGTCACTGGATTTTGCTGATACCCTAAATTTAGAGACGAATATTATTAGTCGCCACCCACTATTAGGAAAATTATGGTCATAGAATTGTGGTCATTAACTACTTATGTATATATAAGTGTATATATAAGTTAGTAAAATATAATAACCATAAAATAGTGGTCACCTGAAAATAGAAAATATTTATGACCATAAAAATAAGGTTACCGCATTAACTTTAGAATAATTAAATTTAAAGAAATGTTAATTACATTTAAAAAACGTAAGAGAATTCCTTTAATTTAGGATAAATTTCATTAATAAACATGTTACCTGCCAAAATACATATGTAATTTAACAATAATGCCTTCAAATTAATCATATTTGAAGTCTCGTCTCCGTTACATCTCCATTACGCACATAGTCTAGTTTCTAGTATGTATTTAATTTATTATTTATTCAAATTTTAAGAGAAACTCGACGAGTTGGAAGCCCCAAACTCGTCGAGTAGAGATTATAAGGGTCGCTTAAATAAGTGACCTACTCAACGAGTTGAGAGGCCTCAACTCAACGAGTAGACCAACTGGGATGAAACCCTTATTTCTAGGGTTTTGTACCCTATTTAAAGGACCTAGTCTTCCCTCACCATCCACTCATTAGCCTCCTTAAACCCTAAATTGTATTGTCATCTCCTTGTTAAGAAACTAGAGGTTTTCAGTGGATTTTTGTGTGTTATTATGCTTAATGAAGGACTTGGAAGAGCTAGATGGTCATTGAGATTGAGGGGAAGCACTAGATCCAGGATCTCATCCATCTTTGGCAACCTTCTAAGGTAAAAATTCCCAAACTTGATGCTTAATAGCTTAGATCTCTCTTAGTTTTGTTTTATGGATCATTTTGACCCCCATTGTTAGAATATGATAAACCCTTATGGTGTGATGCTAAGAACTTCCATTTACAGTGTTATTTACTCCTTAAATTCCTAAAAAAGGTCCTAAACCCATTTATGCTCAAGAAAAGACCATATCCGTAGAATTAGGTTGCTATATCTCGAGATTAGACCATTTGAGGCATGTAAAGCCATCAAGTTGTCAACTTTACAAATGTATACCATGGAAACAATGTAGATGTATTTTTTGGAACCTTAGATATAAGGAAATGGCTTAATAGATTAATAATCATGAAGAACTCGGCGAGTTCATGGAGGTACTTGACGAGTTGGGTCAAACAATCCCGATTCTATTAAAAGGAAGAATTCGACGAGTTGGAGGAAAACTCGATGAGTTGCATCGCGATTTCGCAATTCTGTGATTCTTGGGAACTCGACGAGTTGGGTAAACTCGTAGCGTTGAATTTGAATTTGACTTTAACTTGACCTTAACTTTGATCATAGTTGACGCTTAAGGTGTTATGAGCATGAAATGGTATCTCAAGGGTTGTTTTGGTTTAGGGAGTGAATAGAGTTGATTCCGAGCATAGACGTTTCAACTATCATCCGATATTTGAGGTGGGTTTCCTCCTAGTTTGAATGGGTCGAAGGCTCCAAGGTCGGCCTGTGTATGTTATGTGTGCTGATTAGTAGCTAAGTGTGGGCAGGGCCCATATCTTAGCAATATTTGAGTATGGATAGATAGTTTTGATTATACTTGTTGTTTGTGTGATACTTGTATGTGTTTCTTAGTAGTTGAGTGTGGGTGGGGACTGCATCACTTGGTAGCCGAGTGTGGGCGAGGCCCGTATCTCTAGTTAGCCGATTGTAGGCGGCGCCCGTATCTCCTAAATAGCTGAGTGTGGACGGGGCCCGTATCTCACTAAGTGTTGACGGGCCCATATTTCAGATGGCAGGGTCCGTTAGTAGTGGGTGGGTGAGGCTCGCATCTCCTCGAGTGTGGGCGAGGCCCATATCTCATCGAGTGTAGGCAAGGCCCGTATCTCCTAGTTGTATGTTATGTGTATGGTATATGGTAGTTTTGGGAGACTCACTAAGGTTCGTGCTTACAGTTTTCAGTTTTGGTTTCAGGTACTTTGGATAGCATGGGGAAGGTCTCGAGATGGCTGCATTGCACACACCATGATGTCTAGCCTGGGATATTACTCTAATATATTTGACATGTTTTTTGTTATGGATGTACTAATTATGATGTTTGAGATACTATGGTTCCTGTTTTGATAAAATTATTTCAATAATTATGGTTTATTAATGATTTAAAAATGAATTTTTTGGTCAAGATTTTTAGGATGTTTCAAGTTGGTATCAGAGCCTTGGTTTAAGGGATTAGGCCACTCTCTCGGGTGTGTCTGAGATCAAACTAAGGACTTGGTATAAAATTTTCAAAAGAAAATCCATTTTTATAAAAGAGATTTTGAAAAGGGAAAAGGGTGTGGTGCATGTAATCAACCGATCTCAAGTAAGTTCTCCCAAATTACCCATACACATTTATGTTATGATATGAAATATGTATATGTGTATTGCATGCTATATTAGGGCTAAGGATCTAGGAAGGATGCCTTATATTCCTATATTATGAGCTTATTGAATTGCATGCCAGTACTGATTGGTCAGTTATATGATGGCCTTATTAGGATATGCTTGGTTATGTTTACTCAATGCTTGAATGTTGCTTGCTTTGTGCTTTTATGAGTTCTAGTTATCTTTAACTAACTAGTAAACGAATATGTTAAGTTACATATTATGAGGACTAAATAATTTCAAAGGGTTAGGTTTAGCCTTATTTTGCAGCTCTTGTTTGAGTCTAACCGTTGTAGGGAGAGACCTCTCATTCTAAAATTTATTTGGTCTTAGTAATATGTAATGGTATTCGCAAGCTAGATAGGGAAAGGTAGGAAGGACTTCTTATGCAGCTGATGGCGGAGAGTGGGTCGGAGATTACCCTAGGGAAAGCCTAGGATGGGATTAGCGCAGACAACGCTACTAGTGAAAGGGACTTGGTAGAGTCAAGGCAGTTCTTGAGGAAAGTACGGATAGATGTGGAAGGTAGTATGGGCCCATGCTACTAAAAGTAGAGGATCCGTACTTGAATCAAAGAAGGTCGAGATGAACCCAGGGAACTTGTGTATATGATCCCTTGAGTTATAATGAGTATTTTGATGATTTTTATGGTGTATTTTCAGTATGGCGACGATACGCACTAGACCAGTTGACAGTTCTGACACATGCGACGGATCAGGCTCGGGCTCTGGAGTTGGGCAGCTCGATGAGCAGATGAGGGAGTTCATCTTATCTGAGATCACGTTTAGTATCATTGACCAGACTCCTGTGATCTTCGATATGGTCAAGGAGGGCATTTTGGAGATTCTTAATAAGAGGTTGGG